TTACTACTTTTGCTCCCTTTTCATCATTGTTATAACTACTTCTTTCATGTATAAACGTTTTTTCTATTTTGAGAATTATTATTTTAGCCAATCATCGTCCATTCAAAATAAATTTCAAACGCGTATGAAGTAGCATTAATTAATTTGACTAGCTAGTTGTTTTTTCTTCTCAATCCCACATAACTAGTACTGTACTATACATGTACTCCGTATTATGTAAGGTTTAATATAGAAACTTGGTAAATTGGTAATACTCCTCAATATGACCATGTTTAAAATTATTTGACATAGTTGAACTCAAATTTAACTTCCAAATTCAATCAAGTTCACGAAAAAAAAAAAAAAAAGTGAAAATTGGCCTCCACTAACTAACAGACTTTGGTAAAAATAAATAAGAGTACAGAAGCATCATCTATTTCTGACTTTAAGAATTGGAGAGGTAAAAATGTACTGTAATAAAAAAAAAAAAAAAAATGGCAGTGTAATTAATGAGTAAAGTTGATGGGCCAAAGTGATGGGCCTGACTTTAATTCTGAAAACTCAGAGTGGAGGGCTTCTTTTGGGCCGCTGACACACCATATTGTTAGCACGGTCACAGGATACTTACTAAGTCTGTCGCTGACATAAGTTGCACGCTTTCGGAATTTTTTTAATTTTTATTACGTAAACATGCAATCATTTTTGGTCCATCCTACTTTAACTCGATTTCCCAATCTTTCTTGTTGGGAGGTAAAGCTCCTTTCTATGGTGTTGTCCATGCTAGTGAAATTAACAATATTCAACTTTTTTTTTGTAGTTTCATCATCATAAAACTTGTTACACTGATCTAGTAAGCAATACATAGTATAAAATAGGCCGATATTATTGAATATAAAAAGTTTTAATCATCTCAAGTTAGGTCACATCATAGTCATATACTATTACAAATAAAGTTAGTTTCATGTATATGATCCTATATATATGATGATTAATTTACGTAATCTTATTAACCTTTATTCTACCCTACCATGATTTGCTAATATTTACATATGATAATTAACAACCTTAGCTTTTATCTTACATAATGATAACATAAAATGTAGCAACATGACATGCGAACTCGATTAAAATAGAACATGCAATTTAATTTATAAACTTTTTTGTATTACTCCCTTATCCCTTTTAATCTCATCTATCAATTTAATTATACTATAAACCCAACCTTCATATTACACTTAATTACTTGAATCAATGTCTATGTCCTCTAACATATCCATATTTATGTCACCTATATATCCAAGCTTCGCATATTAGCTAGGGAAGATGGAAGATGTATACAGCAACAAATTAACAAGCATGTAGAAAAATACATAAAAGAAGTTAATACTACCTCCGTTAACATTTACTTGCACCTTTGAGATATTATTTGAACGAGAGGCATAGAATATTTCAAAGTTGCAAGTAAATGTTAACGGAGGTAGTACATTACTTTGCATTGGTTCAACAAAATCGGTGAAAAGCTGTCAAAATCAAAGAAGTTTAGCTAGGCGAGTACAATTAAAATATAAAGTATTGCCAAAAAGAGGAACAACCAAGTAAATTGATCCAACTACCAAATTTCACCAAAATGACATACGCAAAAGCCTATAAATCAAACAAACAAACAAACTATTTGCAAATTAAATGCATGCAATATTTTTTCACTATTACATTTAATTTTACTTTCCTACATTACATTAGCTTGATTATGTAACACGGTATCAGAATATCTGCAATGTTACAGTTGAAACAAAACAAAAGCACACGATCGATCGAACTGAAGTTTAACGTACGTACATACGTAAGCCAATTTTTAAGGTTGAATTTGTAGTATCAACTCCTTACTTCCCAGTTCCCACGTGCATGCATGTACTATTTATAAATATATACTGTTTTTTTTTTTTATTTCTATTTATAATATATTGAGGTATATTTTTTGAACTATAAATTCTTTATTTGCCCAAATTTAGTCAACATCTATCTTTGATTCTTTGAAAGGTACATTGTGTTTTAAGGTGGTGCATGTTTGGTTTGGCTTTTTATTCTTACTACATAAAACTTTATTCTAATATTTTCACTCTATAGTTTCACTAATAAGGTAAAATATAACATGAGGTGAAAAATATACTTAGAGTTTTGGGTTATGTTATGGGTGATGTATAGTCTACATCACATGATCATGTAATAGTACACGTGGACCATGCATATAAATAATTTTGGGGGGAGGGGGGTAGTATCTAGTGGTGAAAAAGAGGAATTGGTAGCTAGGGTTAGGCTTTGCTTTCCTAGGATGAAATTCTAGACGTACCAATATTAATTGTATTGCATGTTGTGAAATTTTGATTAGTATGAGTAGTGTAATCACTTGATGAATGACTGAATTGACATGGGTCTCTATTTATGTCCTTTTGAGTTGGTGTGTGGTTGTTGACATAATAAATACGAATTGAGCTAGTAGTCTCCAATTGATCTCTATAAAGAAAAGGAGAGGTTATATGCTTATTAGTGTAAAATTTTCTATATGGATAAGTAATTACCTATTTGCGACTTGCAAGGGTATGGTGACAATATTTAATTATTTATCAATTACATATTATGAGCAATTTAAAAAATAAATTAAATTGAAAAAATGAATAAGGATTGTGGGACAAAGAGAGTATTGCACTACGTTATTGGATCTACTTTGTACAGCATTATGATTTACGAAGTATGATTTAAGTAATTGACAAGTGATTTGATTAAGTAAGGCTAACAAATAGTGATTGTGAAATACTCGTACTTTTAATAATCATGCATGCAAGAGACTATATTTAAGTCAACTCTATAAATAAGACACGTTATAAGGGCACATGTTAGTTGTTGTTAGACGGACAATAAACAATCTTATCGTTTTTAGAGAATTCTTCTCCTAATTAGATTGCCATGACATTGCATAGAATGCATGGGAAAGAGTAGTCGAAAGCAATTAAAGTTGCAGATTAGAATTGATTAATGACGTAAGATATGACTAGTGTTGTGAAAGCTCCATGGTTTGTTTTCATCATTTCATGTGCATCAACCTTAACTTTGTCACACCATTATTGTTGTCATTTTCAGTCACCCCCTATTGTGGATCTTGTCGACTAGTAGTCGTGATAGACTTGCTACATACAGCCAAGGAGAAAGTGGTGACTATTACATTTAAACTTTCTCATTCTTCTTTTCAAGTTTCAAAATAATTACGTTGTGTAACCATTTTAATTAACTTCTTTTCGAGTGTTTTACTATTCATTACACTGTATTGACGTTGTAACTTCTTAATTAACTCCAGGCTCCAGCCATGTACTTGTATTAGTCGTCTATATCAATATAAAAGGTGAGGTAGTAGAATAGTAACATCGCTTTCTGCCTTAGATCTTTGGTGTCTAGGGATCAAATTTCAAGGGGCTTATTATAGATATTTTTCATATATTTCCCATCAATTGAGTCCCCTTTTTCTTGTAAAAGAAAAAAGATTTATAAATGAAAAAATTTACTCAAGAAAAGGAAAGTTAAAAATGAAAGCAAAATTGCAAACCTTAAATTATTTTTATAAAATTATCAAAGACCAAGTTTTAACAAATTAAAATGTTGTATTCAAAGATCTATATACGACACAATTTAAATGAGCAGGCCGGAAAAAATACTACTTGAGAGTTAAGATGAAGTCTGTTGCATGACAGAATGTTACAGCCCATTGGGCCTTATCTCTTCCAAATCCAAGAATGGACATTTTGATCCACATGAAGCCCAAATTGGGATATCATTGACACAGTAACTATTTGTGAACTCAGATCAATCTCACAAGTTTCACAATTCACAATTGAAGACATGTTGAAATGTTAAATCAAATGTTAAGGTAATTGAAGACATGTTGAAACATATTTTTATCTAAGGTACATAAGACTACAAATTCATGCAAACTATCAAACTCAACTATGCAAGCAAATGCCTTATCATAGACAGCAAAAATACTACTCGGTAGTAAAAAGAAAGCAAGCTAAGCAGCAAAAGAAAGGTCAGCAATAACAGTTAAAGAAATACAGAAATTTAAACCGTTACCATCTGAAGCAACAAACCTTGGTTAGTTCCATTGCAGCCTTATATGATATTGGCGCAAACAATAACTCACGCCATCTGCAGGTAGCATTCGAATATAGGTAATTCACAGTAAGTCATAACAGATCACATAAGAAATGGAGGATAATGTCCCTCCCAAAGAATTTCTGCAGGTTCAATATCATGGGATGGAATAAACTTGGATCATGAGGCATCTTCAGATTACACATTTACATCAACTTACTACAATTTATCCTAATAGTGAGAGCATTATAGCTTAACTTATACAGATTGACCTCTATTATAATATCGGTATGTAGGAATGTACATTTCAATAGGTACTTTATATTCTGCTTGACCTCTATCAATTAGTTTTCATACATGCATACCGAAATGTACTACACATTAATTCACTTATGCGGAGTACATAGCTACTAATCCACTTAGCATCAGTTCTTCAGTACAGCATCCCATGCTAAGCATGCAACAAGCAAACATGGAAAAAGCGCAGCACAAAAAACCTTAACATAAGGGCATGATAGGCCACTTAAATGTATCACATGCCCTGTTTTTGTTATGGCCTGGGCTGCTTCTGCTAGATTGCTAGAAGCACTAAATTCCTCACACTTATAGGCAAATAGAAAAAAATGTTGGCTGCCTAAACTCGACTAAAGAGTAAAGAACGCTACTTGCAAGTTACAACACATGTTCTATTTGAACAAAACAAATCAAAACTTAATGAGATTGGATTACAGGAGACCAGTCAGCAGCACAAACATAATTGAGATTAGAGTAATTAAATAAATTGCACAACTGGAACAGTATACTATAGATTATACTGATAACTTACCATCATTCCGATCATCTTATTATTACTTTTATATTGATATTAGAGTATTGTTGTGATCAGAAATTATTATCCAATAAGTAATGAACAGAACAAACAAAGTTCATACTAAAGAAAAAAAAAAGCCAACTAAAAAAAGTTACTCTAAACATGCGTGATCATTATTCATTCAGCTTATATACATTTATTTGAAGAGATTACTTAAAAAAATCATAAGTACACAAGTTATGAACAACCTTCTAGCTTCTATGCTAAATCAGAAAACTATCTGTAAAAATGTCTGGAATAATAAAAAAAATCAGACAAGAACTACTAAGATGTACAGAAACGTACAAACTATTAGTTCCTGAGAAATAATTTGTCTAATTATTAAGAAAATTTAAGTTTTTAAATCTCTAAACTGGAAAGCTTGCCACTTCCAGAAGTAGTTTCTAATTTACCCCAACAAGCTAGCCTAGGAAGCACCACGCTTCCCAGACTTCAGCGAAGTTTTGCTCTCTTCATTCCTCAGTCTCCATTGGTGATATGTGAAGTCTATCCTTATTAATCTGTTTCGCACGACATTCTATGCTGCAAAAGGCTCCAAAGTTGCTGTATGTGACAGTAAATGCAGAAATTTTAAAGAACAAAGCAATAAAAGTAATATTCTTAGGGCGTTGATAAAAATTTTGTTTCTCATATACAATTTGTACTCCGTATAAATTAGCATACAAAACTTGTTAATTTTACGTCTAAAAACCTATGAGTAAATTTCTAGTGCGAATTACCGATTTATAAAATCCTGAGTAAAATTTTCTAAACATTATTATTTCTTATAACTAAGTATTGTTGAATGGAAAAGTAATCGAATTTCTCAATTAAAAAGCATAATTTGTAAGGAAATAACCTCTATTCAAAAAAAAAAAAAAAGTAAAATTATAATGGTAATATTATCAGTCAATGAAATAACCTAAGATCTTAATCCATACAAAATTTGCTTCAACTACGAATTCTAACTATCCCACCTTCAAATTTACGTCTCTATTATTTTTCAGAACTATTAAAATCTGCTTTCAGTTTTCCTTCACTTAATTATTTTTTTATTTTTTCCAAAATTTTATGGGTACAATTCATTTTTTTTTTCACTTCAATTAGCAGAACATAAGCACGCATAATTAAGCTGAAACTAATGCATACATACTAATAAACCAGGAAAACAAAGATTTTTAAAAAAAAAAGCAAATCAAGAAATCTATCTTAAAATAAAAAAAATCACACCATAATTATAAAAAAAATTTGACGAATTATATTCCATTATATTACTCTGTAATTCCGTATGAAATAGATATAAAAATGAAAAAAAGAAAAAGAAAGATTGCGAACCTGTACATATAAATTGCCGAAGTACTTTCGATCAAATTCTTACAAAAGAAACATTTCATAAGAAATTCACCAAATGGCATTTTACTCTGATCAAATGGTTCACGTGTTGCCGGGACTATCGTGAATATTGACGGTCGACTATAATCCGGTGGATTCCTCGGAACTATCGCCGGAAAATTATTTTCAGGGAGAATTGTCATCGGAACAGTAGTAATCTCCGGCGAAGGTTGCGGCGGGGGAGGAGGAGGAGGATGAGATTCCGGCCACATTGCCTCGCCGGAGAAGATGGAGGTGTAGCCAGAGCTAGATGATCGACAAATACGAGATCGCTTTGCCGACATTGTTGAAATTAATAAATTGAATTAGGGAATTCGGAAATTAGGGTTTATAAAAATTGGGAGTGAAGAAGAGATTCCGAGATTGAAAGAAGAGAAATTTGGTAAAGGCGTCAAGCTCAGTTATTTATAGGCTACTGTGGACCCTACTTTTTTTTTTTAATTTTTTATAATACTTTCTCCGTTTATTTAATTTTTGGAGTATCTATCTCCTTCCATTATAAATTACTCGCAATAAAGGAATATTTTATGTCTCACAAATAATGTCCCTTTTGTTGCGAGTAATTCGTAACGGAGGAATTATTTTTGACAGACTCTGTTCTTTTAATATTGCATCATAAGGAAGAAGAAAGAGAGAGAAAGGTAAAAATACAAATCTGTCCATATAATTGTAGATATAACTAAAGAATAAGCCGTTAAAATGTAAGGGTATATAGGTTATTTGTAATGTGAATATAAATATTTTCTATTCTAAAATTAATATGATGCAATATTTACGAAACGGATAAAGTATATAGGAGTAATTATAATTTCGTATAGAGTCATTTTTTTTATCAGATGATTAAATCAGAGTACTCGTCTAGTCGTCTTAGACAATTATGCTGATTTTTTGGGCTTAATTTGCGGCAATTTTGGTGATTAAAAGCAGAGTATAGAAAGTGAATCACATTGTTTTGGGAATGAGTTTTATTTCCATGTTTAAGAGATATTTTGAGATTTTTCTAAACAAAGATTCTGATTCTTTTCCTAATTATGTTTTAGGTTGTTTGCAATAAATAAATAAATGAAAAAGTTGGCAAAAATAATCTCAATTTTCATGTATTTACTTTAAATAATCCGAATTTAAGAGTGTATTCACTTTTATTAGTCCCAACAACCGGTCACTTGCTTGATCAATCCATTAGAAGATTTAGAACAGGTTTCACGTGATTGATAAAAAAAAAAAAAAAAAAAAAAAAAAAAATTATAAACATAGCCCTTACTTAGGCTATGTATAAGAAGATCAAAAGGGAAAGATTGAGTAAAAATTAACATTAATTACACTGATCTACGCATGATTTAGTCATGAATTTCCAACTTAATTACATTTTGAAAAATATATTTAATGCTTATACATAATAGCAAGAAAAAAAAAAAAAAAAAAACCCAAACCCTCCCCTAGCCCTTGCCACCCACCCAAACCTTTGCAGATTGGCAACCCAACCACCTTTAGCACCTCTAAACCTCTTGAAATGGCCACTCCTCCGGTCCTCTCCACTTTTGCCCAAAAAATTACTGCCCCTGGAAACCCCACCACCTCTCTTTCCCAGCCACAAAACCCAATCATCTCCGTCCCTCTCCCCATCCATGAAACCCTGTCCCTCTTCCCTTCCGCAACCATGAATCCCCCTCCATCCCTGAAAACCCTTCAAAAGAGGCATATAAGGCAGAGGAAAAGAGTAGTTTTCTGGGGGTGGGGTGGGGATTATGGCGGTTCCGATCGTGGGTTGGGGAGGGACCTAGTTTTGGGAGGTGGGGCTTGGGGATAGGGGCGGTTTCTGGTGGTGGCCTGGGGAGGATGGACTATTGGAGGCTAGGGGTGGGGACTTGGCTGCTTTATTTTTATTTTTATTATTATTATTATTATTATTATTATTATTATTTGACCATTGACTACCTATTTAATAGATTACTGATATTCTCAACAAATTCAATTATTTAAAAATGATCCAAAGTTGAGATTATTTAAAGTGTATACGTTAAAATTGGGATTATTATTGCAAATTTTTCATAAATCAATCTATAAACTGTTTTTTTTTAATGCAAATTGATAAATAAATTGTAGTTGTATTATTTATTTTTTTTATTCTATTCAATTCTATATATAAAATAGTGAAAATTTTAATTTAAAATAAAATTCTAAATAACACTTTTGTCATAAAAATATATCAAAATTTCGCTTGTTTGATCTTATATTATGTGTAATACATAAATACATACTATGTACTAATGTATTATTGTCATCTAAGGAGCGCAACACTTCGCATTTGGTGAAAATTAGAATACCGAGTATCGCTGTCTTGTGGTTGACTTCAAGATCCGAGTTTATATGTTAGTTAGTGATATCTTGATATGATATGACAGCGATGATACACATACACCTTAGCTGCTCATATCAAAAGGGATTTGTGAAGAAGAATTGACATTTTAAACCTTCATATAAAGGGCAAAATCTAAAACTACCCTAATTGACAAACGCAAAGGATAGAGAACTCACCCTTCCTAAGCTTATAAATATATATCGCCGCATCTAAACTCCTTGTTAGGCTACCTCTTTCACTCATCGACTTGTTTCATATAAAGCTTCAATTTCCCTCTCTAGCCTCTCGCTCTTCATCTATCTTCACCCCAATTTAATTTCTTTATCGAATCTTTGTGGGAAAGCAAATCAGCAGTTTGCATAAATTACAAGGCAACTGGTAATCTTTCATTTCCTTTTTAAATATGTTTTAGTTCATTTCTTAAAATCATCCTGACTACTTTTAATTAAATTACTTCAGTTGAGGTAAAAATATATATTTATATTTTATTTAATTTTTTTTTTATACTTTAACATATGACCATGTCTCTAAACAATTTAATAATTCTTGTAAAAAATTATTAAGATTGTCCCATTTTCCATTATATCAAGTCATATTTTTGTCGAATCAATAGGTAAGGGTGCCAATTTGGATAAAAAATAAAATTCAATCCAATTCAAACTAAATTATTAATCTGGATCAAAATATTTTAAATCGAAATAGATCGGTTTAGAATTTTAAAAATATCGGATTTTGGGATCAATCACATAAATGGGGATTGGATCCAAATTAAATTAAAGTGAACAAACGGTGGCCTGGAGTATTAAATAAGACCATTAGGTTTAAGAAAAATCTAGTAAATTATTGGCCTTAATATTATTAATAACCACAAAGCTTTGTCCTTAAGGTTTAGTGATGAAACAAAAATCATCTCAAGCGTTCACATGAAGGGAAAAATCTGAAACTGCCCTAATTGACAAAGGCAAAGACATTAAGCAACCTATTTCACTCACCGGTTTCAAATAAAGCTTTAATTTCCCCCTATTTTTCTTTCTACCTCCATTTGTCTCCACCCTCTTATGATTTTTTACATCAAGTCCTTGAAAGATAGCAAATCATCAACTTCGAAATATTATTAGGCATCTATCTGGTAATCTCTATCTCATTCATTTTCCTTTTCAAATTTGTCGTAGTTCGCTTCTTAAGATCATCTTTTGTTTAATACTAAATTCAATTTTGAAAGAGTAATAAACAATATTTTTTAAAACCTTTTGTTAATTATTTAGTACTCCATAATATATGCATGACCATGTCTCTTAATAATTTCATCCTTTCAATTGAAAACTAGAAATTTATTTTCGTGTTGGTGTGCAATCTTTGGATTGAATCCGAGTGAATCCAATCCAATCCAATCCAATCCAAATTGGATTAGTAATATGAATCAGATTATATGAAAAGCAGATCATCAGAGATGAATTGAGTTTTTAGAAAATCAAAAATTTGGATCAGATTAGATTGAAAGGTTTAAGACCTATATTTCACGAACACGAATTTTTTCAAGAAGTCTAAAATTAATTTTAAAGTACTAACTTTAATGAGATAGGAAAAACAATAAGCTAATCGAACAAAAGTATATTAAGTATCTTTACGCATAGTTCGGGATTGTACTAATTTACACTAATTTGTAATTATCGGTATTTTCATTACTATTTTTTTTTATCAAAAAAGTCATTTCACCCAAAAAAAAAAAAACATACATTTTGTTTTCTCTTAACTTTCACCGTCTACTTTTTGACACAATACTTATTAACATTGAAATTTATATAATATTAATAATACATGGTCAAAGCATAGAAAAATGATCAAGTAGGTCAGTTATTCGGGAACGCAGTGAGTAGTTTATTTTATTTCGAAATTTATTTTGGAGCGCATTGTGTAATTTAATTCTAACTAGTATTTAATTTTAATCGGGAAACTTCATGTCGGATTGGACTTAACTTTCAAAACCGTATTTTGTTTTGGATTTAAGTATTTAATCCAAATCCAATCCGAACACCAAATTAAAACCCTTATTGATAAGTTCAAAGCTATTTGGTAAATGGATTTATTATTCAATTATACTTTTGTATTTGGTATATAAACTTGATTTTGAGTTTTTCTTCCAAAATATTTTCAATTGAACGTTTATACTCTTTACATTTTTTTTTTGGTGAAAAGAGAGGGCAAGCCCAAACGAACAAAACAAAGACAGAAGACTAACAAAGCAAACAGAACAAAATAAAAAGCAACAAAAAAAAAAAAACAAGTCACACGAACTAAGCCTTGTCTTGAGGAACAAGCCTAGCTCTCGCAACCCCACTCAAATCCTCCAATAAAACGGCCCTAAGATCCTCCGGGATCGCCTCAAACAAGACTAGTTTTTGCTCCGAGGTAACGCCAAAATTAGCTAACCAGTCCGCAGCCCGATTCGCCTCTCTATAGCAGTGAGATAATTCCACTTTCCAACCTTCACGAGCAATCATAACCTTACATCTTCTTATTATGTTAATAAAAGGAGAGTTAGCCGAGCAAGGCTTAACCAACATTCGGATTGCAAACTCTGAATCAACACGCACTTGAACCAATCTATGCCCTGCATTCCAAGCAATTGCAAGCCCACGCATAACCCCAATGAGTTCAGCTTTATTGTTAGAGCATATGCCGCAATTGGTAGCAAAAACCTCGAAAATTTCTCCATCACAACCCCTTATCAGCCCTCCAGCACCTGCCTTACCCGGATTACCCTTGGAAGCTCCATCGGTGTTAAGGAAAACCCAACCCAAGCATGACAATTCCCATCGAATATACTTCTCTACCTTTCGACCAGCCCCACCAGGATTGAACAAAATGGGATTCTCCATAGCTCTATTGATGTCCAACACTCTTGCCATAATATATGCTCCTTGGTCTGGGGGAATACTTGGAGCTTGACTGAAAATCCTCTCATTCCTCCAATGCCATAGGCACCAACAAGTAACCATGAAAGTTACCTTTCTAGCTTCACCATCGACACTTTGTCCAGTCTCAATATTAAACATGATCCATTCACTACACTGCATCGAGTTGTAGATCATATTATCATCCCAACCCAGCCTTCGCCAAACCATTCTTGCAGCAGGACAGCCCATAAGAATGTGATTCACACTTTCATCATTCGCACCACACACTCCACAGCGAGGATCATTGGTCATCTTTCGAATAAACCTCATAGAATTAGTCACGAGGCGATCTCTTACTGCCAACTATATGAGAATCTTAATTTTCTGTGGCACTCGAGCTTTCCAAATAGCCCTCCACCGTACCCTTGGCTTTCTCGATCAGGAATTTCAACTTGATTGCGGATAATTTTAATGGCCGAGGAAATCGTGAAACCGCCAGACGGGTTCCCATTCCAGTAAAGACTATCGATAGCCTCTTCATCATTGAGAACTTCATGAGAGGCTATCAATTCAAGCACCTCAGCATTAAAAAAAGACGCAAAAATCTCATACTTCCAACCCGAGTTTGTATCCTAATATTCTCGAACAGGATCCTCCAGCATGACTGAAGGCGGTTTTGGGTTGGCTAGATCATACAAAGTGTCCTTCGAGGCCCATCAATGAGTCCAGAAAGCAATCCTATCTCCACCTCCCACTGCCATATTGACTCCCTTCTTAAGAATATCCACATTTTCCACAATACCTTTCCAAACATTAGAAGAATCTGATTTAGCTTTGAACATCTCAAGGTCATACCTACCATCGCAATATTTGTTGCGCAAAATACGGGCCCAAAGTGAATTTGGTTCCGTGAGCATTCGCCATCCCAGCTTGGCTAAAAAGGCTGCGTTTGCTTGACGCATTGATCGAAGTCCCAAACCTCCTTCACTTTTTGGTTTTGTCACCGTTTCCCAAGCCACCAAGTGAACCTTTCGATGTTCATCATCCCCACCCCACAAGAACCTCCTAGTCTTTTTATCAATTTCATCACAAGTTGCTTTAGGAAGTTTAGTAGTCTACATAGTAAAATATGGCACCGAAGATAAACAAGCTTGAGCCAAAGTGCATCTCCCCGCAAGAGAAAGAGTCTTCTGTTTCCACCTAGCCAACTTTGAATTAATATTCTCAATCAAGTATTGGTAGTCTTGCTTTGTGGTTCGACCATTAATAGTCGGCACACCCAAATAACGGCCCAAATCTTCTGTATAAGCCATTCCCAAATTGTCACAGATTGCTTGACGAACCTCACCATCAGTATTATTCGAGAAAAAGACACAAGACTTCTCATAACTGACCTTACTACCCGAAGCTCTACAAAATCTGTCGAGACAATTTTTCATGAACAACGCTTGATCAACTGAGGCTTCACAAAATAAAATAAGGTCATCGACAAATGCAAGATGGCTAATTTCCGGTCCCTTTATACACGCTCTCACTGCCTTCCAACCTCCAAATTTCACCTCATGCTCAATTAGTTGGGCCAATCTCTCCATACAAATCACATAAAGATAAGGAGAAAGTGGATCTCCTTGACGAATACCCCGACTCGGAGTAAAGCTGGAAGTTGGCTCACCGTTCCAAAGAATTTGTAACTTAGTGGAAGTTAAACAATTCATAACAATATCAACCATGGACTGCGGCAATCGTAACTCCATAAGAGATTCCCTAATAAAAGACCACCGGAGTCGATCATAAGCCTTTTCAAAATCAATCTTCACAACCATAATACCACGTTTGCCTTGTTTCTTCCTCATCGAATGAAGCATCTCTTGGACAATGATGATATTATCCGTTATTTGACGCTTGGGCACAAAACTACATTGCGTCGGAGAGATAAGAGTCGGGAGAAGCGGCTTCAATCTATTCACAATCACTTTTATCACAATCTTATAAGTGATATTGCAAAGCCCAATTGGCATAAAATGATTTGGTTTCTGAGGAGAAGCCATCTTAGGTATTAAAACCAAAAACGCATCATTAAGGCCCTCAGGAAACGCCTTCCCATCAAGCACATCCTTCACCAAGTTAATCACACTCGGAGCAACAAGATGCCAATAATGCTGAAAAAATAAGGGTTGAAAGCCATCGGGCCCTGGTGCCTTAAATGGTTTCATCCCAAAGAGAGCACGCTTAACTTCACTTCCAGTAAAAGGTCGAGAAATCAAATCTCGATCATCAGGTGAAATAAGAGGAAACTAGTCCAAAAGTAAACGCTCCCTTGTGAAACTACTCTGCTCCTCTTGAAATAAATCGTTCCAGTAGCTCACAACCAAATATTTTACACGATTCGGGTCAGACACCCAAACTCCATTCAAATCTTGTAATGATTTAATACGATTTTGCCTTCGACGGATGATAGTGGAAAGATGAAAATACTTTGTGTTTCGATCCCCATCTCGAAGGCTATCAACCCTTGATTTTTAAAACCATAAAATCTCTTCTTGGTTCAAGACTTCATCCATCTCCCTTCTCAACTTCATTTCGAGCTTGATGAGATGACGATCCCTCCCCGCTGCTAATCTCTTCTGAACACCCTCGAGTCGTGCCCATAACTCTGATTTCTTCCTAAAAATATTGTGGAAAATTTCCTTATTCCAAGATGACAAAAAATCCGCAAAAGGTTCGAAGGAAAAGAATTATAGGCAGATTATTATTCCATCTCGAATGAACAAATTCATCGAATTTAGCATGGTTCATCCACGCGGCTTGAAATCTGAACGGTTTCAAAGAGGAAGGGATTGGAGCAAATCCGGTGGTGCTAATAAGAATAGGGCAATGGTCACTTCTAGATTTAGGGAGATTGCGTAAAGCTCCTTCATCAAACCGAACTCTCCACGACTCATTCACCAAACCTCTATCCAATCTAGCCGATTTAAAGGTTTCAACTGAATTTCCTCTAAACCAAGTATGCGCAGGCCCCGAGCAGCCCAAGTCAAACAACTCATTTTTATCAATCCATTCAGCAAACGCATTGCATCTTCGAACAATCTCAGCCCCTCCAACACCATTTCTTTCGTTCATAGATGTCGTCTCATTAAAATCTCCCGCAATTAGCCATGGACCCGAGTAGTTCTGCTTAATTTGGTCCAAGGCTTCCCATAAATCGCGCCGAATAGAGCTGTCCGGGCTTGCATACACAGCTGAAAACAACCACGGTGCTTCTCCATGTTTATTGATCTCCACCGAAAGATGTTGTGTGTGGCTTCCATAGCCAACAACAGATACTACTTCAGTCCTCCAAAACAGCCATATACCTCCAACGAATCCCTGAGCTTCAACCCGCATCTGACCCGTAAAACCAATACTATCACACACTCGTTGGGCTTGTTCACCACTTAAGTGTGTCTCGACCAATGCTAAAACTGTAGGCTTATTAATCCGAACTAACTCCCTAATGAGAGTTACTTTATTTCCCGCTTCCTGAACATTCCACACCATTATTTTTATAGACATATTAAATTCTGGAAAAATAGGGAATCGGTCATAAACGTTCAAAGGAACGTTAGGCATGAGTGAGAGATACGCTTCCCTCAGCGCTCTCATTGGATCGTCCGTCACATACGGAATCTGAAACGTAGCCATCATATCCGGTGGATTGTGATTCGGTGGCAAGAAGCTTGTTATACTCTTTACATGACTTTTGTTGTCAAATGTCTTAGCATAAAGCTTGTTTATTTGTTTTACCTAACATATACTAACTCCATCTCCTAAAGAACGACTTATTTGGACTAATTTTAGTCCTCAAAAAGAATGACCCATTTGCATTAAAATCCCCACCAATTTGCAATAATATTTGTGCAAAATTAGCTTCCCCATATAAAATTTTGTTTCTCAATGTATTTTATATTACTTTCTCTCTCTAATTTTTTCCAAACCCCATGTAAATTTATCTTTCCAATATACTTTTACTTCTTTTTATTTAACTTTCTTAATACCCGCAAAATCAACCCAAATGTGTCATTCTTTCGGAGACGTATGGAGTAGTGATTTTGTCCAAATCTATTAATGTTATATATTGTACATGGTCGATTGAACAAAGTCTTGGTACGTGGAAAAATTAGGGTATTATTTTTTTAGTAATATTTTTTAGAGGCTTGTTTGATAATAATCCCAAAAGTTGTTACACAATCCTTTATAAAATAAAAGATCAAATTTTGCAACTGAATTCCACCTAAAGTGGACTTCTTCATTAGGGTTTATTTATTTATTTATTTATTGTATATATTTTGTTTTTCACAGTAACGAATCTACTATGGACTACTTGAGTGACTATGACTCCAATGAAGACGTCTACGAAAGCAGTGAGGATTACTCCGGCGACAAGGCCAATACAAACTACACCATCTTAGACGAAGCCGAGATTCGACGTCGTCAAGGTGATCAAATCTCTCATATCTCCTCACTCTTATCACTACCCAATGATCAAGCAAGCCTTTTGCTTTATAAATACAATTGGAAGGTTGATAAGTTGCAAGACGATTGGTTTGCGGATGAGCACGCTGTTTGTGACAAAGTCGGGCTATTGATCAACGATAAAAACATTGACAATAAAGAAAGAGATGATGATATCTGCAAGATTTGTTACGACGAGTTGGAATCTGGAAACAATCGATCCGTGTCGTGTGGACATAAGTTTTGTGTTGTGTGTTGGAAGAGTTACATAAGTGTGGCTATTGACGACACGGGTGCCGGTGTTTTGTCCCTGAAATGTCCGGCGATTAAGTGTCAAGCTGCTGTGACTCGAGACTTGATTGTTGAGTTGGCGTCGAAAGAGGAGAAGGAGAAGTATGATGAGTATTTTGTGAGGTCTTTTGTGGAAGGAAGGAAGAATACTACAAAGTGGTGTCCTGCACCGGGTTGTGACAAAGCTGTAGAATTTGTGGTTCAAGAAGGCGGAATCCATGGGTATGATGTTACTTGTTTGTGTTCGAGTGCGTTTTGTTGGAATTGCGGGGAGGAGCCTCATAGACCGGTGGATTGTGAGCTTGTTGCGAAGTGGACCTTGAAGAATTCATCGGAGGCTGAGAACACTAAATGGATACTTGCGTATGCTAAGCCTTGTCCCAAGTGCAAGCGCCCTATTGAGAAGACTGTTGGATGCAGTCATATGACTTGTTCTGCACTTTGCAGGTAAGATCTCCTACAATTTTTAATCTATTTTTTTATACGGAATAATCAATTTTGGTTATATGTAGTCGACCCCCTTTATGAGTAAAGGCTTTGATTGATTGACTGGCCGACTGACTAATATTATGAAAGACTTTAGTAGATGTTAGTTATTAGCATGTTTGATACGTCTTAAGAATAGTAAAGCTAAAATATGAGGTTGAATCTTATCTACATTCCTGTCTTTTATTGTTGTATTTTATTCTAGAAAATCGAAGTATGTAAATTTAATTGTAGAACTTGAATGCCTTGATAGTTGACAGTACAAATAATCTGAATATAGATCATTCGTTTACACCTAGAGATGGATGGTGTTACTAATAGTTATTATTTTTTGGAAAACCTAAGTAAATTATATACTTATAGTGGGTTACAGGGATTTTAGACTAATTAGACTCTACAATTGTGAATTTAGAAATTAATGTTTTGAAATTAAAATATGAAAAGAGTTAAGTTTGATAGTATAAAGCTTTTGGTTGATGAGATGGTCCTTTAACATGGTATCGGAGACAGCGTGATCTAAGAGCACTCTCATTCACAAAAAAATGCCCATGAGGAGAATTTAATGGTAAAAATGCTAAAAATGTTATCCCACTCATCAGCAAAAAAAAAAATGCCCATGAGGAGATTATCAAATGCCCATAGGAATGTCAAAAATAAATTGCTACAGTACCTATGGGCCCATGAGTGTTTGTGAGAGAAAATATAGGAGAGATGGTGGTGTGGTTTTTTTTGTTTGTTTAGCCCATGAGTGTGGGAAGAGTTCTTAAATAAAATGCCCATAAGAAAAAATGGAAAAGAGGAGTGAGAAAGTGAGTAGAGAGAGTGACATTTTTATTTTTTGCCCATGAATGCGAGTGGTCTAAGGTCACGAGTTCGAAATGAATCTCATCCACCCCCTACTTTCAAGTGGAATATTAAGCGCTTGGTATGAGAAAGGACTCATGCAGCATCCACACTTCTAGCCCAAACGGGCTCTCGTGTATGGGGGGCATGATAGAGTATAAAACATATTCTTGGGCCTAAAGTCCTCGACCATCAGCTTAAGCTTTTGGTTGAGTTGGTCCATTGATAGAAGTGAAGGAGTAATAATCTTTACGCCTAGTAATTTGTTTAGTTGATTAGCATCATGTGAACTTTGATATTTATTTGAAAGTGTATAATGTATGAATAATTTGTGTAGGTTTGAGTTCTGTTGGTTGTGCCTAGGGAATTGGTACAAACATACGGGGTGCAACAGATTCAGTACAGAGGATAGAGATATCGATGAAAGAATGAGGAAAATTGCTCAATTTTCTATTAGAAGATGCTCACATTATTACGAAAGGTGGGCAAGCAACCATAAATCGCGACAAAAAGCCATGGATGACTTGAAAAGAGTTGAGGAGGTTGATCTGAACAAGCTGAGTGGCAGGGTGAACACCCCTACAACACAGCTAGAATTCGTCATGCAAGGATGGAAGCAAATCATCGAGTGTAGGAGAGTACTGAAGTGGACTTACGCGTATGGGTACTACCTAGAGGAGGACAAAAAGGAGGACCAAGACTTTAAGATAAAAAAGGAATTGTTCGAGTTTCTGCAAGGTCAAGCTGAGACTCAGCTTGAGAGGCTTCATTCTTGCGCTGAGATAGAACTGTCGCCTTTCCTTAAAGATGTTAATGAAGACGACGATGATATAATTATGACCAACCCTGATGATATGGATTTTAGTAAGTACCGCATTAAGCTGGTTGGTCTGACAAAGGTAACTGGTAAACACTTTGAAGAGTTGGTTAAGGCGTTGGAGAATGGTTTATAAGAAGTGGTTCTGGATCGGAAGATAGGGCGCAACAACAGCTCGAAGAAGAGAAAGGATTCGGCTTCTTCTTCACAAGGTACTCAAGATTTTGATTATGATCCGAATACGGTGTACGACTCTTGGGAGTGTGATCAGTGTACCTTCATTAATATATGCACAGCTACTGCGTGTAGGATGTGCTATAGGTTTGATTGAAGGTTAATGTCTGTTTAAGTTACTAAGCTAGTACCATTTACAAGACATGGGATTATGGTTTATTTGGTTTGAGGTTGTTTTTTTATTTGCTTGTTTTGAATTGGAATTTGTGAACAAAATGTCACAGGATTATGATTAATTAAGTTTTAAACTATTGTAATTTCATGTGTTTGTCTTTGTGTTTTTTTTTTTAATTGATTTTTACATCCTTTTGTTAGGAGATTTTACTCTCCAGCAGCTAATTAAGCTTAGGATGCTGCACTCTTCTGCATTGTGGTTTGTGGGAATTGTGGCCATCTAAATTGTATCGTTGGAATACAAAATTTTACTTAAATCAATTTTACATCATAGAGGAGGAGGCTGAGGCTGAGGCTAATCAAGGTCGAAGCCGTGCTAACTCGACCCGTACCGTGTTTTCTTAAAGATATCCTAGAAGAGACTTTTCAAAGGTTATCCTTAAAAATCATAATACAAAGAGTGGAATTTCATCTCCTCTATTCTGATAGGGGTCGCGATGTATACCTTACCCGGACCCGAAATTTGTTATCCTTACTCATATCCCACCCGGACCCTTAGTGTCAATTTTAAGACCCTTACCCGAATCCTTTGGGTCTAGCAAGGTCGGGTAGGGTCCTTTACCTATTTTTATCCTCAAATTTTAATTGCCTATATTTTAGTGTACAAATATTACAATGTGCAAATATAATAAAGTAATTATTTACGTGAGTATGTATTAATGTATATGACCCATCAGTTAATCAAACTTTGAACCTATTGTAAAACAATTATAAGAAGAAAACTACAATATAATACAATTAATTATAATGGGGAAGATTTCCGACGAGGTTAGGGGTGGGGTTAGGGTTTGCCGGTGGGGAAGGTGGCTGGAAATTTTGGGTTTTTCTTAAAAAAAAATATTTTTTAAATTTTTTTTTGACCAATCACGTATATATTGAAGGCAAATCCATAGCATAGTTGGGTTGGTAATTCCTATTTACTACACCCCCCTTTAGCCATTAATACCTACTCCCCCACTAAAATTACAGTAAAACCCTTACCCCCACTAACACACCCCACTAACTGCATCCCACTAACCGCACTAGTTAGAACTTGCAGTTAATTCTCCATTTCTCTTCAACACCATATTCTCTCTCTTCAAATACTCAAAATCGCTACAATTCAAGAAAAAAAATCTTCAAAATTACTGCAAATTGCATCAAAACATCTGAAAATGTCTGACATTCGAGATGAAGTTCGTCAATCGCAACTAAATTCCGAAAAAGAAGAGTAAGAATTTGTTCATTTAAGTAGAATTTTGAATGTAAACCCTAGATTTTATATTTTTTTTTGCGTTTTGATATTCTAAAACAAACTCTACTATAATTACACTTATTTTTGTGCAAAATAGACTAAAATCTACTATATTTGGTGGTATTTTTAATTAGTAAAAACGAAAAAGAGAAGAATACTTCGAAGGTTCCGTCGGAGAAGACGATTACTGAACAAATGTTCATTTTCAGTAAATGTTCATTTTCAATTTGATAGATGTTCATTATGATACTAGTATATGATCATTTATATTCTTACCTTACATCTACTAGGGTTCATTCTTGAATTCTTGAGAGAATATTACTCTAATTTTGTTCATGATCTTTACATATTAATAAATGTTTACTGGTATTTAAACATATGTTTATTTGAATGTTATTACGTACATTTTCATTCTCATATTGAAAATATCCACATAGATTATACTAATACATGTTTAACTTCATATTAAATTATATGCTCATGAGCATCATTTGAATGTTGTACTACATACATTTTCGCTCAAATATTGATAGATGCTTATTCGAATTTGATACATAGATGTTCATTTGGATATGTGTATATTATTCACACATATGTTAATGCATGTTCATTCACATGTCTAAAAATGTTCAAAAATAAATTACATATTGCTCATTCATCATAAACCTTTGATGATTCTATTTTAAAATATGATTCTATTTTAAAATATGTTAAAAAATAAATCACCTATTGTCACTTACATTATTTGTGATATATATATGCTTATGTTATTTGTGATAATTTGTTCATTTATATAAAATAGAATGTACATTTTTGTTTTGCCAATTGAACATTTATTAAATTTGTAATATCAATATAATGTTTATGCATATATATTGATTTACAAACACAATACATATTGTAGTTATGTTCTATATAGAGTGAAACACACGTTGCAATAATTTAGAGATGAAAACTATGAGCCTAAATTTATAAGGAGATAATGCCATCAATTATATTGAAAGATAAAAATGAACAACATAGTAATATGTAGGAATCATATTTTGATAAAAGCATGTTGAACCACAAGTAAGTTAATTTGACATATAGCATAATGTTCATTTTCATAACAATGAATACACACATTGACATTGTAATTTGTTTGACTTAAAGATACACCAAATCAAGAAGCTGGGAATACAATACATTGCTCAACTGATGCTATTTGGATTAAACAGAAGCTAGAGGCAATAGAAAAGGAGCAAGAAGATTTATGGAAGCTTATATTACTACAAATATTATTCTTTCGGTTATTTGATCATTTATGGATTTCTAAATGATCAAGTACATTAATATTCATATTTTTTTTTAATTCATTAGTGCTTGTTATATACATATACATATATATATATATATCAAGAAATTAACGAAATACAATAAAATGTACGTAACCAAAAAGGCAAATGTTCAGTGTCAAAACAAAACATGTTCAGTTACATATCACTTATCAGAAAAAGAAAAAAAAAATAAGCTGGAACAAATATATGTTGTTTCAATCCAAATTCTTACTTATTATTATTTTCCAACCTATTCGCTACATTAGTGTAAAAAAGAAAAAGCTAACAACCTATCATACTTAGAAGAAATATGTTGATTAGCTACCACGTTGAACATTTTGAACATCTCTTGGAACACTTGAAGGAACTTGAAAATTTCTTGAAACACTTGGACGTAATTGAACCTTTTCTCTTGGCACATTTAAAGAAACTTGGACATCACTTGGAGCACTTGAATGAACTTGGCCTTTTCTTGGAGCACGCACTTGGACAATACTAAATTCTTTCTTAAAAACATATTCATTATACCTGCCATAAATTTCTTGTTCAGAATTAAAATATGTAAAAAGTAACTCTGATTTAGTTGCTTCTTCATACAAAATTTCATCACTAGCACCCGTTGTATAAGTTTTAAAAATGAACATAATCAATGAGAGATATGTACAAATACAAAACAGTACATATATAAATGATCATTTAGCATTATCAATTTGATCAAAATAATAAAATAAAATAAAGAACTAAATATTTAAAATATAATTAAAACATCTATAACAGAACATTAGTTTGAATCATAATGATCATTTAGAATTATGAAATTGATCAAAATTGTAAAACTACTAAAAAAACCCACGAAAACGTATATAAAAAAATCTAATCACTCACAGAAAACAAATCACAATCAACAATCATTAAACTAAAAACAGCAAACAAACTTGAATCATAAATCATACTAATCGAAATAAGAGACAAAATTTATTAAAATAAAAACTTCAATTCACTTGAATTACAACACCAAACCAAATTGAACTAAAACATAGGCTAAATTGATTTAAAAAAAACTAGAAAAATCGAATAAAATCAGCAAATAATTTAAAACAAAACAGCTAACAAAATTGAATCAAACAATTGACCAGCAAGCATTTATCGAAATCAGAGGCAAAATTGATCAAATTGAACAACTCCAATCAGAAACAAAATAACTTCACAATCACGATCAAATTCGACAATCGAAGAATGTAGCACTTCATTATCACAATCAACAGCTCCAATCAATGATTCATCCATAAATAAGAGGAAAAAAAGTGATTGAAAGAGAAATAATGTTGAAAAAGAGAGAGAAAATGCCAAAAAAAAAATAAAAAAAACAAAAAACAGAAAAATAGGTTTTGAATCATATATATAAATGACTTGAGAGATAAGATATAAATAAATTTAAAAAAAAAAAAAAAAAAAAAACAAAAGCATAAACAGGTAAAACGATGTAGTATAATTGGGGGGAGTAGGCAGCAATGGCTAAAGGGGGTTGTAGGTAAAAATTTTCAGTTGGGTTTATTAGGTAATAAACATTAGTTGGGCTTTAATAATAAGTATATCACCAATAGTGTTTTTTTAAAAAAAAAAAAAATTAAGGAAGTAAATCACCAATGGTTAGGATTATTAAAGTGTAACTTTTTTAAAATAAATGATATAGATTAAATATTTAATTAATATCAACAACACAAATTAAAAGATAATAATGCATTAATCCTAATGTAAAAATAAATTAGAAAAAAAATAAAAATAACAATGCTACAATATTTAGATATGAAGGGTGTACTCCGCATAAAAGAAAATTCTCTACCTATTGAAATTCAATCACAAACTTACTTCCATTAAAATACGGAGCAATACAATTACTTTCCATAAATTAATATACAATTACTCCATCATATATTCGGATTAGGGTTCTTATAATAACATCGCAACCTTTACCATATAACCCAATTGGTAGTAGCTTCCCAAGATCAGAGAAACACTTTTCAATTAAAAAAAAAAAAAAAAAAAATCTCGTTGACAAGCCATGGAATCTGATGATGATAACTTGGAGTTTTACGAGAGCGATTACGATGAGGAAGAATACAACTGCGGCAGTGATTCCGACATGGGCAATTATAGCTCCGTGTCGGATGAAGATGAGTCTAATGTCAATAACTATGGTACCTTCAAGCCCAAGAAAACTTATACAGTATTGAAGGAGGGTGATATCAAGAAACAGCAAGATCATCAAATTTCTCATGCTTCTATTGTTTTATCTATATCAGAAGTTGCTGCAAGCAAGCTGCTTTATTACTATAAGTGGAACGTATCTCAGCTCCATGATCAGTGGTTCGCTGATGAAGATAGAGTACGCGATGAGGTTGGTTTGCCTAGCACAGTTGTACCCTTTTTAAACACCGAGGAAGCGATCACTTGTGGCATCTGTTTTGATGTCCTGCCTCAGGAAGATTTTTATCCTATGGTTTGTGGTCATCCGTACTGTAAAACATGCTGGAGAGGATATATTACTACGTCGATTAATGATGGGCCGGGATGCTTGTCGTTAAGGTGTCCTGAGCCTTCGTGCAGAGTGGCAGTTTGTCGAGACTTGATTGATGATCTAGGAACGGAGGTAGAAAGAGAGAAGTATCATCGGTATTATTTAAGGGTGTATGTGGAGGAGAGCAGGAAAATTAAGTGGTGTCCTATGCCAGGGTGTGAGAATGCAGTAGAATTAGAGTTAGGAAATAATATATTTGATGTAACCTGTCTTTGTTTTGGTAGCTTCTGTTGGAATTGTGGGGAGGATGCTCATCGTCCTGTGAGCTGTGAAACCGTGTCTAAGTGGGTGTTGAAGAACAGCTCTGAGGCCGAGAACACAAAATGGATCCTAGCAAACTCGAAGCAATGTCCAATGTGCAAGCGCAACATTGAGAAGAACAAAGGGTGCATGCATATGGTTTGCTCTCCACCCTGCAAGTACCAGTTCTGTTGGCTCTGTCTCGGGGATTGGAAGAAGCACGGCCAAGAAACTGGGGGTTACTATGCGTGCAACATATATAACAATAAAAAAGAAAAAGGATTGTTGGACGAAGAAGAAAGTATCAGGGAAATGGCAAAATCATCTTTGAATAAATATGCACATTATTATGAACGGTGGGCAGCTAACCAAAAGTCAAGGGAGAAAGCAATTGAAGATTTTAAGGCATTAGACACTGGTATACTGGTGAACCTTCGCAACAAGACCAATGAAACAGAGGTACAACTCAAATTCATAGCAGAAGCTTGGGAACAGATTATAGAATGTAGACGAGTATTGAAGTGGACTTATGCGTATGGATATTATTTACCTGAAGACGAGCCTGTCAAGAAACAATTATTTGAGTATCTCCAAGGACAAGCTGAGGCTCAACTTGAAAAACTGCATAACTGTACAGAGAAGGAGCTTACGAGTTTCCTTGAGAAAGATGATGAAGATTTTGGAAATTTTCGTGAGAAGCTTGTTGGTTTAACTGCTGTCACTCAATCCCACTTCACAAAATTAGTTGCATATTTTGAAACTCAGAAGTTGTAAGCTAAATAACCTCTAAATCAGTACTAATAAGCTTCCCAATAACTACAACAATTGTTTATGTTATTATTAGTTATGGCCCTAATTATGAATCTATGAACATAAGTCACATGATGCCGGATCACAAGAAGCAACTTCAGAAACAGACTATGAACCAGTTTTGCTTGTTTTGGACGGATTATCACGTTTGATTTATGTATATTGGTAGTTTTACACTTAGTCTGATTAGGTATTTAATAGCAATAGTATGATTTTGTATTATCTATTTAGTATACTGTTTTACAAGATCTTGAATGTTTTCTTTTATCAAGTAGATATCCTGCAATCAAAGAAGCTAGTTTGTTAGATGCTTTCAATTTTTAGTTATAACATTATTAAATTTTAATAATCAAGAATTGAAAATACTAATGGACAAAGCTGTACGTTGTCAAGCACAAAACTTGGACATGGCAATTATATTAAAATGGGAAGTATGACCAAGTTTGATGTACTTGGACTTCATTGGATTGTTTATTAGTGAAAACTGCTTTAAACCAGATTCTCAGTGAGTTTGGCTTGAAAATTTAGGCTCTTAGTGAACTTAGACTTGATGTTTTCATCAAAGACATGCTTGAAACTAAAATCTGAAACAAAAGCTCTTACATGCAAAAGTCAAGAACACCTTGAAACCAAAATCTGAAGCAAAAGCTCTTACATCCATAACTCGAGAAAATTATAACTGGCAAGAATCCAAATTTTCTTTCTATTGTCAAACCATTGTTTGGTTCGTCGTGCATGTTTTTACATACAGAGCAAATCAATCAGCCTAAAACAGGATTGACTATCTTTTTATCCTTGATACAGAAAGGATAAAAGAACAGAGGATGACATGCTAAGGTCACCCCTGTATATGCCCTAAACTACTAAAAAAAAAAAATAATGAACTGAAAAAAATGGATGGTAATTAATACATGTAGATTTTGGAGTACATATAAGTTGATTAAGTTGCCAATTATGTTGAAACAACCCCAATTGAAAATGTGAAACAGATATCAATCAGGAGCAGAGGAAGCATTGTTAATTGTCTTGATCCTGGCCTGATGTTTATATTGTGAAATTGATCGATACAAATTCAAGCAAGAGTTGAGATTCTTCTTTAACATGAGGTTCTTTGATGACACAGTGGATTGAATATGAATGGAATGAGGCAGAAAAAAAAATATAAAAAGTATCATTTTCACAAAGCTGATGACAATAAACACATGATCTTTTCTGAAGCAGCATTACCTTGAGGCCTTGAATAGCTTTGTACTGTGCAAATTTGTTGCCTTAATAGTTTAAGTGAATTCAGTTGAAATCATTTGACCTCTGAAGTTGCAAGGGATTGTTTTGTCTTCATGACTAAAAGGAAGATCATCCGAAATCAGCATAATTTTTGTAGGCGCTGAAGGTTTACTCAGTTGACCTTCACAAAGTGTGAGATTCCTTCGTCTTGTTTTACAGTTGCATTAGATTCCGACATCCGATTGCTTGGTCATGGAATTGGAACTTGATATCTGCCAATGGAAATTGATTACCAAATCACTTTTGAAAAGTCAAAAATCATTAGGTAAATCAGCAAATGTCCTAGGTTGAAATAATGGGGGAGTGGGTTATTTGCATCTGTTCTGGCCATTGGTTGCTCCAGTCTACAGTTGAAACAGTGTTATATAATTTCGATTGTTTTATAGTTGTTTCACTTGTTTATATAACTTCGAGATTGGGAAAAATCATGGATGATAATCAACTATATCCTCTGTACACTCAGGCCAATATGAGCGTATGACAGGGAATTGGATATCTCATCTTCCAAGCTGTATCGAGGTGTTCACTACTACACGTCTAGTCGTCTACACATACATGTATACATTGTATCAGACCACTACTCGGCTTGCTGACCCTACCCATTTTAAGCATGGTTATAAATTTGTAACTCAACAGTCGCAGAGATATCCTATAACACAAGAACTATCAATTTCTATTTGCTAACATAAAACCCATTATTAGGTGTTAAAATAAATCAAAGCCTACAGAGACTTTCTGAATAGAAGGGACAACAACAGATGGATGCTTTGACTTACCATTGGCTGGCTACCTTCCACTACCTTCTCCTCTTCCTTCCAAACCACTCTAAGGCTGTGGCTCAACCCGTTGAACTGGAAAAAGAAACAAACCAACAACAGCAATATAACTATAAGGATTATATACTTCATTTAATATAAATTATTACCTATATTAATGTGCATTGTCAATGTTTAACACCAATCAAGTATTAATTGATGCAAAGTTTGTAAAACTACTAATACTATAGAAATAATAGAATATATGATGGACTTGATGGTATAACAAATACACTAATAATCAAGAACTATTCACAAGCACAAATGCACAAAATATTACACGTTTCTTCATAAAAATAGTAAACACAACCAAGTTTGTATTAGCCAAAGCAAAGGTAACAAAACCTAATCAGCAATCCAGATTGTACTCACAAAATAAACAACATAGAATTATAGACAAACTCATATTGAGCACACAAGAGGAGTCAGTAAAGGTTCTCAAAAGAGCAAAGATCAAAGAATATGTGGCAATGTAGCCTTGACAGTTTCACAGATAGTGACAGAGCACTTTGGGATAGAGTTATCCTAAACTACAAATTTTACCAACATTGGTACAAAGCTACAAACAGGCAAGACAGTTGAAATAAATAGTACAAGCTGATTTCCTTTCTTGATTGGTAATCAGATATCGTCAATATGGTGCCAGGGTTTCTTAAAAATTCTGAAGTAAAATTTGATTAAATCTTTCACATTTCTCAAGTCAATCAAGTTTTGACACTCTTCACCCTCTGCAGAGCATAGTGCCACATCCTGACAAATAACCACCTTGAAAATGTTTTAAATATTTATATAGCTCAGAACTCTCTTTATTTCATATTATGTGTACATTAAATTAACTTGTGAGTTTTAAATTCCAGTATTAACTTGTGAGTATGCGGTATGCATACAGCAAGTTTAGGGTATCTGAGCCTATAAGCATTGATCAACTTAGGTTATGGCTTGATAGTCAATATCCTTTTCTTAATGCAAAAGAGTAAAAGACCTTTCAATAAAGGAAAATTTCCAAATACGTAGTATTTATATTTGAAGAAGAGACTAAATCCCGACATATCCAAACACAAGATCCTAAACAGCTTAATAGAGACTGAATATAAACAACTAACATTTGTAATAAGTACCTTAGTTCAACAATCAATTCCCAAAATTTCAATACAGGATTCATATATAATACTATTGATAATTTTAAAGGTACTGAATCCAGGTTTTCATACAAATTCAAATTCTCCAAAAAAAAAAAAACTGTTATTTTCATTCCCGATACTTTTTTATAATAAACCCTAATGCTAAACTTTCAAACTAGAACCCCCCTTCCAGCCTTCCTTATAATGTCACAACCTAATGAAAGAAAACAATCTAAAAAAAAAAAGCCTAAATTACCGAAAACTCTCAAATAAAAAGGCCAAAAACAATTAAACAAACCCTGATATTAAATTTAAAAGCATCTCCAAGAGAGTCCCTGATATTAAATTTAAAAGCATCAATATTTATAAGTCTTTTAAGAAAAATGCAAAAGACAAAAACTTAGCTCAAAAGATCCATATTAAAGATCCGTAATAAACAACAATATGGTGTATCAATGCAACAGCTTAAAAGCTAGTTGCATGGCCTAAGACTGAAGAGTAGGATCAAGCCCAAGCAATCAGGCGCAGTCAAGTAAGAATAGAGCAGCAAGCTTACTGTTCATTTCAACTTTCAAGTGTGGATGAATAAGATTAATTATGAGAAGATGTTGCTTTTATAAAGGTGATAAGATTTGTTCAAATCTCAATGTCATTAGACCATTGGAACAAGGAATTGAATGGTAAATTAAACATTACAGGTTGCTAATTACATAAAGATATTGAAAGACTTAGAAGCATACCTTGGAAACAAGTTGGACCAGGCAATTGGCGATGCTATGATAACTATCTGATACGAGTAATTTTGTGCTTAAGCTTTTTTGAGAAAATCCAAGAAAAGCTAACATGCATTGACATGAAAAAGCTTTACGTAAAACTCCACAAATTATAGTCACAGAAGAAGTAAATATAAACTTGTTAAGCTCTTTCACTTAAGTCTTCAAAACTGACAAGCCTCAACAGCAAACCACAAAATAGCCACAAGTCACTGAAGAGACTAAGCTGCTTAAATTCCTCTAAAATAAGCCAACCCATTTTTTGAAAGCCAATGCAGCTTCTCTTTTCTTTGATTGGGCTTCCGTCTGATAATTTGGAGCCTTACCCTTATAAAGTGTCTTATGATACTTCAGAAAGAGAGTACGGTACCTATACTTGTCAATGAACATGTTTCCTTTCTCCATCATCTCAACCACCTCATTTGCACGATAAAAAAATCCACCCCTAACAAAAGTGTAGAGAACAGAATCCAGAAGTTCCTGATCAAACTTCATTGGGGTGGCAGTAGCAAGACTTTTCATCTCGCCCCAGAGCTCTGCCACCTCAATGTATTTTCCTCCAATGGCCGCATACCCAGTTACCATAGAATGGAAAGTTTGCGCATTAGGGGTGTGTCCCAAGCTTCTCATCTTCTTTAGAGCCTTCTCTGCATCTTGCATTAATCTCTTTTTACAAAAAAAATGAATCACATTATTCCAATCATGGACACCACAATCTACTGTCTCGCCCTCCTTAATTTCCTGCAAGAGTTTGGCCATAAAACCTGCTTCACCACTCTTTGCACAGCTCCCAGACAGAACCTCATATTCTTTATGACTAGCTCTTGGCACTTTAGCTTCTTTCATTTCTTTGAAGAGATTAAGAGCCCCCTGAGTATCTCTCTGTAGCACCTTGGCCTGCATTAATGCTTCATAACAACTTGCATCCAGCTGAATCCCAGCCGTTCGAACTTCCCGAAGAAGTGACGTAACCTCTTTTAGCATTTTTTCCTTACAGTAAGCTTTAAGAAGCGAGGAGTACACAGAAGAGCTGGTCTTGATCCCAGCAAAACGCACTTCATCAAGAAGATCATGTGCTTGATCTAACCAGCCAAGGGAGATGCATGAATTAATGACATCAGCCAGCGGTGAATCGTTAACAGAGGATAGGGAGTCTTCTTTCTCTACCTTGATCAGAAACTCAGCCAAGTCCTTAATTTTACCAGCGTCCAAAAATGCCTTAGCTAGCTTCACATATGTTTTTTCTGTTGGTTGAAGAATACCCCGTTCAGTCACAATCAATTCTGTTTGCTTCTGCAATTGCAGCAACAAAGTAACCAGTATTTTTTTTGCCTCTCCCTCCATACAAATGAAGTTCCGGTCTCTGCTGAAATCTTCAAAAGACATAAAAGAGCCTGGCTGACTCTCACCTTTATCAAAAGTACTTATCTCCGTTGTGTTATTGACATTTATGGAAGAGTATGAATTTGCAGGTTCAAACCTGAGTGTGGCAGCAGCTAGAGAAGTTTTAGCTTCTTTTGCCTTACGAAGCATCTCTAAAACCATTTGAGAAGCGGAATCCAGGTCTCCAAACTTCAAGTAGCAATTAAGCAAGCAATTATAGTATTGTCGAAACTGAGTATCATCTAGGTTGTGAGCTTCATCAATGTGTCTCTTCAGCTTCTTTAGTTCTTCTCTTCTCCCATTCCTTTCATATATACGTGCCATGAGGATTAATAGGGTAGCATCAGTTTTAACACCAATTCTAGGCATCATGTCAAGCAGCTGCTCAGCTATTCTTGTTGTCCCAGACACGAGGCACCCAGCTATAGCAACACTAATGGCAAGAGTGTTAGGCTTCATTGCAATTAAAGGTGCATTACATTTCTTACGGGGGTCTATCCTGTTATCCTGAAAGAGGTAACCTATCTCAAGTATCAGCTCGGCAGCAAGATAGGCTCCAGAGGATGACAGAGACATGTAGGCTAAAACGGCAGACCATGCTGTTACTGGGGGATATTCTTCCATTCTGATCAACTTCCTTAAGATAACAGATGCTGGCACTGGCTGACTGCATCTAGCAAGAGCATGAGCAAGGTATATAAGAGTCACTTTCTCAAATAATGTCTGTTTACCTTTCTCAAATGCCTGTTCCACCAGCCCAAAAGCTCGTTCCAGCAAATGGGAGTCCAAGGTTTCTGCATAACTCACAAGCAACTTATTTACCACCGATTTCCTAGGAAATCCTTCCATCTCCAAATGCTGCTCAAAATATCTCCAAGCATCATCATACCTATGCTCATCAACTGCATTATGTATATCCAAACTCAACTTTGCTGGGTCACGAGCCTGCACCAAGATAGTACCAGAAGATGTCGAAAAGAATTCTGTTCGCTTAAATATATGGCCATGATATATCAAACTGAGAGCAAGCCTACTTCCATTAACCAATGAATAAACGGCAGGTTGAGAGAGATTTCTTTCTCTAGAATTTGAAAAGACGCTAGGTGTAACATAATGAGCACCGCCAAGCCATGATGACAAAAACTGGCATCTCAGCTTCTTGATTCTCAGCATTCCCACTGTTAATAAAATTATATCTGCACCAAGGCATCCCACTAATTGATGAATCCATCAGCGGGGAGAAGAGAAAAGACATCAACTCACTCCATCCAAAACAAAAAGTCACACATACATTTTAAAGATACCCGGAAAACGTTGTAACATTTCCTAAGATAATAATGGATATTGATTAAAATTCCTAAGCTATTGCTGGAGTAATAGAGCTACTATCAATAATCTTTTAGTAAAAACATATCAAACTCTTTACTTATGCAGGACTGAGACAACGGGATGATTAATACCGCGTACTCTAAGATAAAAGCAGGCCTGTCCCTGAGCCAAGGCAGTGGGGCGGCCGCCCTGGCTCAGGGAGAAAAGGTCCATTTTCATAGGTCCATCCTAACATTAAAGGGTTCTGCAACACATTAGCAACTAAATTTGATGCAAATATCAAATTAGCTCGAAAATTCACATATCTTAGGTGCAAAAGGTCCAATTTCAAAGGTCCAATCTAACATTAAAGGGTTCTGCAACACATAAGCAACCAAATTCGATTCAATTATTAAATAAAGCTCAAAAAATCACATATCTTTAGGTAGAAAAGGTCCAATTTCATAGTTCCATCCTAACATTAAAAGAAAATTTGATTAAATTATCAAATTAAACTCGAAAAATTACATAATCAAAATCGCTCTTTACAATCTTTCATAACCTTACTAATTATAAGCAGTAGTTCAATAATCGAGTTTAGAAGACCCCTAACATGAGCAATACTTACAAAAAAATTAGCGATAAACCCTAGAATGTGAAATTGAAATTGGATGAATACAAAAGGAAACAACATCTAACCTGAGAAGCTGCTTCAATAGAGGATAGAAATATGAGAAAGTTTCCCCAACAAATTAGTCAGAATTCTTGCCAAAGAAATGGAATTAAGAACAAAAGGGAAAAAGCACGAAGTAGGAGTAGGAGTACAAAAATGGTGTAATAATCATCCAACAACAGAGTAAGAATGAGAGAGAAAGAGAAGAGAGGAAGAAGAAGAAGATGAAGAAGAAGAGTGAAGTTAGCGTGAGAGGAATTAGTACGCCGACCCTATACTGATACAAATTATTATGGATCGGGTTTAACTCGGGTTTGATTTGGAATCTTTTGGTAGATTTTTAGTTTTTTTCACCTCTTGGTTTGATGGTAACACACACCAGCATTAGTGTGTAGTTCCGACGTTGCAATAATCATGCAGTTGAAATTATTTTGGTCAAAATTAAGATTAGTCTTATCAATATTTTCTTTCATAACTTTACAATTATACTTTTTATTTCAGATTAATTATATATAATAATATTTATTCATATTATACTCTTTATTTCAGGTTAATCACAATAGCATTGCACAAAATTTAGGGCAAATTATAGGTAGCAACGCTTTAACCCTTAGCAACTCTGATATAGTTGGAAATATCTCAAAGTTATTATAGAGTAATGCAAGTTGTAAAGAAAGAGAATTTCAATAAATTAAAAATAAAATTAGTTATAACTAATTAATTGATGGAAATTTCAAAAAAAAAAAATTAATTGATGGAAAAAGCATTATTGTAGCTAAAGGAAAAGCGTTATTGTAGCTAAAGTTAACATTGTACTATACTTAGAGCCTGTTCACATTTACTGAACTTAGCTGAACTGAACTGAACTGAATTGAGCTGAAATGAATATTTTATGAGAGAGGTAAATTTAGAGCTGAACTGAACTGATTGGAGCTGAACTGAACTAAACTGAACTGATTAGAGCTGAACTGAACTGAAATTAAGTAAATGTGAACAGGCCCTTACTGTAGTTTTTAGTTGTCTCAATTTCTCAAATATTGTTGTGAGGCTACAAGCTAAGATTTTTTCCCCTATCTTAATCTCTTAATTAATTAAGGCCTGAATAAATCCAACCAACCCTAATCATGTCGAAGATTAAACAAATCATATGCGATTAAAGGCAAACACCACGGCGCTGCTCCCATCTATTTGTTCTACGAGGATGTGATTAATGCTAGTGCGCTTTACTTATTTTAATTGTATGCATGTTAAACGGAGTGGGAATGTACTTGCTCATAGTATTTCTCGTTGGGATACTTCTAACTCTTTGGAGCGTATATATATGTTCTTTTCCCCAAAGTTTAATCACTATGGCGGAAATTGACTTATGCTAACAAAATGTTCGCTCGCTTGCTTCAGAAGAAAAAAAAAAAAAAAAAAAAAAAAAAAAAAAAAAGCAAAATGAAGAATAGAAAGAAGTTGCACAACAAAAACTGGTAGTACATTTTATTACCACCTGAGTTCACCTCCTCATACTATTATTTATGTAACAAAGCTTGGTTAACTTCGGCTGTTACACTTATGAGGAGGGTATTTACACAAGAAGAACTATACAGGAAAACTAAATTACACAACAAGAACGGATCTTTTTTACCCTCTACAAAACCAAACAGCTTTCAAAACTCGGGATTGGTTAGGTCTCATTCCTTAGCCTTAGCCTCAGTCTCGGAGTCAGACTCTTTCCGGCATCTTAGATGATGGAGTAGCCTCGGCGATGCTCTTGCTGCCTCGGCCCTTTGAAGAAGAACTCCTCCTCTTGACTCCTAAACACCTCATCCACCTCCTCTGCTGAGGTTGCGAAGGCCAACTCCTTTGCCTCCTTCTCAATGTTCTTCAGTATATTCCTTTGTCCTGTGTTTTACACACATGAGATATAACATTATTATCAGAATATATATGAAATGTAACCCAGAATTGGCTAGCTCCAGTTGACATTGTATGATCAAAATGAATAACTAAAAATAAATTAATCTAGTACATATAAAGATGTTTATTAGATAAGCTGTACAAGTATCTGTTGTGTTTTTTACCTGCTAGTGGGAATTTATGGTTGTTCTCGGCATTGATCTCGAAGCAAATGACCTCTAAGTTTTCATCCTCAGAAGCTACAGTGACGAAGGGGTGAGCAGGAGGGACTACAAACACCGAGCCTTCTCTGAGCTCTGAGTTGATCTTCTCATAGTGGACCGGGGATGTCTCCTCTTCGCCTCGCCTGCTTTTCTCATTGTGGTGGTGGTGGTGCTGCTGCTTGTGGCCAGACTTAGATACATGAGGACAAGCCATCTCAAAGTAGCCTTTTCCATTTAGCACCACTGCTATCTTTGTGGCCCTTGAGTTGTAGTATGGAGTGTGCATGGATCCCTGTCAAACGAAAACATCACCATCAATATTAAGACAATTTTAATACAAAACTTTAGTTAAGGTTCACCAATGACAAACCTGAGTGATGTTGGCAAAGGCAACCGCAACATTGAGGTCTCGGAGTTGTCGGTAGTCGTTCGAGTCAACTTCAAAGAGTGACCCAAAGTCATTAGATTCTCTAGGATTCTGCCTTAAGAGATGAAATGGGCCTGAACCCCTTGAACCCTTCCCTCCAAAAGGCCAGTGGCTGCCTTTTTCATGGGTCAAAGCCCTGATTTGTTCCTCAGATGCCTTTATTATAGCTCCTTCTCTCTGCTGCGAGAATATCCTCTTCAGGCTATCCTCTGATGTCTGTTATCAATATAAGTATGTCAGTGTTGCAGGCGTCGATGTATGAGTATTTCTTGAATTAATCCTGATTGAAAGATCTTTAGTTCCTTACCTTGAAGGCTGCTTGGAGTATGTCAGAGCTGAAGGCGTTGAAATATGATTCTGGGTTGTCACCTCCTGGCCCGAAGAATGACTAATGCCACAGAATAAATTCGTACAATTAGAAAAACTACTTACATGAAAAATATTGTACAAGGAATTCAGGGAAACTACCTCAAACTTTCCGATGTTCGAAACAGGATTGATGAGCTTGACCAAGATTAATTTGTCATTGTTTCCTCTGTTGATCAAATATGCAGTCACTCCAGCGGGTATCACCATCACATGACCACGTTCTATATTGAAGCTCTCCCTTCTGTCTGTGTAAACTAGACTCACGGTACCCTTTCCTAATATCAATCCAAAAACAACAAATATACATAAATAAATATTGTGAAATGAAGGTTAACTTTACATAGATTAAGACTCAAGAATATCACTCACAATACAATTCAATTCTAATCATCTAGGCAATTAAGAATCCTAATTCTAACGTAACTTAGAATCCTAATTCTATTCAAAGTAGCATGTATTGTAATAACGAAGGTGATATAATTTTACATAGATTAGGACTCTCGGAATACTACTTGTAACAGAATTATATCATCTAGGCATCTAAGAATCCTAATTCTATCTAAAGAGGGACTACTTCTCTCATCATAAATATATAAATATAGGCCCATAAAACCCAGTTATTCCCACAACCAGCAATCAGCGTTATCAGCCATAAACAAGAAAAACACACACAAACGCACACACTACAAAACCAATGGCTCGTCAAGTTTTCCTCCTCTCAGCTTTCGTTTTTCTCCTTTCAATTTCTTGCGCCTTGGCAGCTGATTCTTCTAATGCAACTGATTCACCTAATACAGCTTTTGTCAAAAAGACTTGTAACAGTGCCACAAACGTTACCCTGTGCTTAAACACCCTTCTCCCCCAGGCCGGCCGCATCAACAGCCATCCCAAAAAGGCCACAAGCCTCGCCATCATGGCAACCATAACCGAGGTTCAAACTGCGTCTAGCAAACTTACCCACCAGGCTAAACAACCTAACCTCAAAACCCATGAAATTAACTCCCTCAATGAATGCAATAGCATGATCTCTGACTCCGTCACGGGATTGAACCAATCATTGGAGGCAACCAATCACTTGGGTGGCGGCAGTAAGGCGGACAAGGAATCTAAGAGACAAAGCACGGTAAACGACGTAAGGACAGTCCTTAATGCTATCAATCAATGCACAACTTATTTGCAAAGCTCTCATGTTAGAGATGTCCTGCTCAAACGAGTTGACGACATTGTCACACCACTCAATCAACTTGCTACTAACGCCGTTGATCTCATCCATCACATGGTGTTTTAATCAACTCAATCATCCCATCTAATATACTTAGTACTTAGATTATTTTACTTAGACTATTGTTATTATGCATAATTAGTTTCCTATATGTTCTCAATAATTAGAATTGCATCAATATGCACTTTATTACAGTAGATTATTAGTTTTGCATTATTTCATATTTCTATGCACAATTAGTTATCTATTTTTTATTCAATAATAAAAATTGCTGAATTAAATTCTATCTTATATTATAATAAAGGATTATTATTTCTCAATTTTCATGGTTACATCTGTATTCTTTATCAATAAGTTGCTTATATGATTGTTTTTACAATATAAAGATTTATAATTATTGCTCCAAACAAAAAAAATCCAAAAAAAGAAATAGTAGAATATAGTTACCTTGGGCAACAAAGAGGACAACATCAGCATCCCAGTGATTAGGAACAACAAAAGTCTGAGGATTAGCCTCAAAGATCAACACCCTAAAATTCTCAATCCCTTTAAAAAGTTTAGACCTTTTTGTAAACTTCTGAAGAACTCTCACTCTCCCTTCTTCTGCCTTTAGTTTTGTACTCCAATGTTGATCATCAAACACATAAGGCCTACCTTTACCACTGCTCTCTTCCTCTTCTTCTTCCTCGTCTTCGCTTCTCTCCTTCTTCCTTCCTACAATCTCATCATCCTCATCTCTCCTCCTCCTAATCTCCCTCTCCTGCTCTATCTTCCTCTGCTCGCATTCGCTCTCGCAGACCTGCTCCTGTCTCTTACCCTCCTTCTCCTCCTGGCACCTCTGCCTGCACTCTCTGTACTCCTTTCCGGGGTCGTGCCGCGACTGCGGCTCATCCCTCTGCTCTCTCCTCTCCTTCTCTCTGATGTACTCCTCACAGGCAGTCTCACACTGATGCCTCTGTCTGCTGTCAAGCTGCCTCTGCTGCCTGCAGTGTTCCTTGCATAGTCTCAGCTGTTGATCTTCCTTGGATACAGAGAGACTAGCGCATAACACTACCAGCAGAGAAAACACCAGCAGAATTACAGACACTTTCCCTTTCAACAACCCCATCTTTTTCTTACTACTTTAACTCTCTTATTATGTATATTTTTTCAGCTGGGCTTTTTATCAAACAGTTGGTGTGCACTGCTTTGGTTGATGAATTAACTGGGTTAAATGATGGTGTTTATATAAGTAATCAAATGGGTAGTGAGAATATGGGGTTTCCATGCATAGTGCCATCTGTAAATGGGTTTTGATTAACGTGGCAAAGTGTAAGGAAGAAGATGATCGCCGTGTAAGAAATAGGACAGATGCTGAAAGAATGGTATATTTTGTAGAAGTTTTGATTTAAATGTTGATGAGTGAGTGAAGTAGTGGAGTGGAGTGGAGTGAGTGACAAAGTCGAGTATATCATAAATTTTGAGATTGGAATGAATTAAATGGGTAAATTGGCAAGTTGTTGATGCTGTTAGATTAGTACGGAATTGCGCTGATTTTGATGGTTTTGTTGTTAGTGGTATTGTGTACGGAGTATTATACGTCTATACGAAGTATGAAGTACAAAAACAAGAGTAGATACCACGTTAGTCTAAACGGGTTCGAATTTCATCAAATTAAGGTGTTTAGGAATGGTCAAATGGAAACTTCCTTGCCTTTTATTTCATTTCATATAAATTAAAAAATCGTGAAGATTGAGATATGATCAGTCGATTAGAGTTATTCGCTAAATACAAAGTAGGAGTAGTTGCGGATACACAAATATGGGGATAGTGTACAATGGCTTTTCTTTTTCCTCAAAGTTGCTCAATAAATAGTTGGCTTATTAAGTCATAAATTTTTTTGTAAAACCTACCTCCAAGTCTCCAACAAATATGATCACAATTTATTTATTTACTTAAACCCGTAATCACAATTTTTTTTTAAAATGGCCTAATAAGGTGACTTTTTATCAAGCAAGATGGAAGCATATTATACGAAGTATAACATATCTCGAGTAAAAAAAAAAAAAAACAAAAAATTGCAGCTGTTACTCAATGATTTAAGAGTGGAGTACATGATAGTCATCGAAGCGTAGGAGTGAATGTAGCTCATCATAATGGATTTGTACACTTTTAAAGAATTGGGACTCTGGATAACTTATCCAAAAGAGTGACAATTCAAAAACAAATTTTATGCTAACATTCAGTTCTTTAAACTCATGGACTAGAGCTAGGTATGGGCTAGGACGATCAAGCACGGCACAATCGTGTCCCAGCATACCTAAGCTCGGCACAAGTGCTACACGAGAGACAAATCAGTGGGCTATGAGTCGCATATGGACATCATGCCAAGCCTAGCACAAGCATGATGGCATGTTGGATTGATTCAAAGTATTTCCTTTATTTTAGGATAAGAATTGTCGAATATTGGTTAGTTTCTATTAGTAGTAGAATGTTATGTTGATTTTATTAAGTTGTTGAATTAGTGGTGTAAAACGTGGGTTGTTAGTTGCTATTTTATAGTTTGTTAGTGGCATTATGTAAGTCTATATATATGGCTTAGTATTTTCAATTTCTAATGGAATGTAATCAGATTGATAAAATATTTTTCTCTTATCTCTCTCTTTATAGTTTCTACTGAGTTGGCTCACTTCCGTTCTGGCAGGCAGGCAGGGTATGCTGCCAAAGTGCCAAGCTCATAGCCTCATACCCATCTCTATAATTAGGATTTTTCTGCTTAATCAATGCATTATACAAATATAAATATTTTCAGTTAATCACTTTTTTTTTTTTTTTTTTTTTGAGAAACTTCAGTTAATCATTTAGAAATATATATAATAAAAATAAATAAATAAATAATCATATATATTAAAAGTCATAGATAAGATCGATCACTCTGAGCCAAACACAGAGGTCGAATAAATCTGAAATTGAAATTTATATTCTAGATTAATCATTCTAGTGTTGTAAGTCCTATACTTTCTATTTGTCAACAATATTATTATTTTATTTTGTCAAAAAAAAAAAATATATATATATATATATTATATTCTAGATTAATCATTCTAGTGTTGTAAGTCCTATACTTTCTAATTGTCAACAATATTATTATTTTATTTTGTCAAAAAAAAAATTATATATATATATAGAGAGGCTATATTATAAAAAGCTCCCAATGTTATCCGATTAGCATGAAAAATACTACGCATACTGCAGTTTGAGAGGTAATTTATTGGTGCGTTGCTGCCTCATGAATTCAACATCCTAGTTTCGTGCCTGTAAACAAGAAGAAAATAAATAGCATCCATTTAGTTAATCTATGATCAAAGGAAATCCTGGGATCGATTCTAACCCCCGCCCTTATGCTCTCTAAACACCAAAAAAATCTATGATCAAAGGACTACAATTTTGCATGAATGGACATACTACGGTCAGTGAGAGTGAGGGGATAGCTCGAGTGGTTAGAGTTTCCCTCCCGATTCTAGGAGATCCTGGGATCGATTCTCACCCCCGCCCTTGTGGCTCTCTAAACACCAAAAAAAAAACATACTACGGTCAGTTTTTAATGCCTTCTCGTTTGTGATATAGGTTAGATACATTGCATAAATAACATGAAGGGGCTAGTGAGCTGAATTTATCCGACCCGACCAGAGATCGGTGTTGGACCGGTCAAGTTAACATATGAAGTATGGGGTAAGTGAACAGCACAAACTAACCCACCGAAGGCTAATATAGTTAACCCAAACATTATGGACGGATTTTAATGAAAAATACGCAAAACTCTTAGCTTGACGCCTTGATTCACCTTGCCCGGATCAATTATTGCTCGTGAATCAGACCAAACTGCATTTAACTGACCCATTGGCCATTACTAGGGGCCAACCCATGTATAAATCAGCCCCAGCTAATATTTAGACCGTCACATAGGACTATAGGAGAACACATCTACAATGAAGCATGAGTATTACTTACATCCGTATTAGTTCGGCCACAAGCGTTCTCACACTGAGCGTTGCACGAGTCCACAGTTGGTCGGCCCACAGCTGATCGGCCAGCAGATCCTACATTGTCGATCTCTTCCATGCATCGATCAAAACACCCAGGATCACATCGTTCAATCCTAGATATTGCTGAAACCTCAACCATATTCACGGCAAATATAACTACTACACACAACACAAACACAGCAGCAACCTTGTTGGCCATTTTGTTCTTCGTCGCTGATTTTTCTTGACTTTTGTAAATTTGCAGTTGATCATTCACAGGCGAGTTTTTATAGGAGAAAGAGCTTATTTTATAACTCTACAAGGCTTGAGAAGTTTTTGCTACTATTTTTAGACATTTGAATAAAAACCAACAAATAGGTCAAAAGACCATCAATTGCTACCAAAAATCCCTCATTGCCCAAATCAGTCTATAAATTTGTGGCTGTAATGCTGTATTTAGCTGAGGATTTAAATCATGTGCGAAGTTGCGGACAATGAAATTATGCTCCAACAATCATTTCCATTTAAAGGTAGTCCAGTCTATTATTATTCCATTGCCAAAAATAAAAAAAAATAAAAAAAAAAAAAAATCTATCTTCCCTTTAACATCAATTATTCATCTATATGACGGAACAAAAACAATCTTAGATACCACAAAATAATAAACTAAATAAAGTTTGAAATATTGTAAAGATTTTAACATGATGTCAAGTATAAAATGACAGGATATCTGATTCCAACCAAAAACAAAAGACTTAAATTGAAAACAGCAGAAAAGTATGTAATACTCCAATATTGAAGCGTGAATAGGATTATATTCTCTGAAAATCAAAGTCTTAACATTTCAAAACCGTACAGGCTGAGTAGTCCACACCTTAAAGGTCACGAAATAGAAAGCCTAGCCTAAGAAAACTTAAAACAGCTTCTGCTGTGATTCCAATGCTACACTTCAGGTCTTCAACGGTACTGAAAAAACAAAATCAAAGAAATAGGTCAGATGATATAAAATGCAGGCAACAACCTTCACTTAAACACAACAAATTAAAAATAGAAGTACAATGGAAAGCCAAAACACTCTTAAACAATACTGGCAACAAGTATAAGAGGCATCACCAATCGAAATGGCTTAGTCGAGTGATGCCTATGATCATAGTAACAAGTAATTGAATAGCAAACATGTAGGGTAGAGTAGAGGAAGACAGAGTCAACACTTTCAAAGCTTTCAAACATTGGAAGGACATTGATTGTTAAAAGGGGAAGGGTAATGGATCCCTTCAATTCCCTTCCCTTTACTTCCCTTCCGGCTTTCGTTCTTTCTCCCCGTCCTATATCAAACATGACAAAATATTGATCCCCCACTCTAGTCTCTACCTCCCCAGCCATTAAATCCAAATTTTCAGATTCACCACCCAATAAGGTTTACCAGTGGATAGTTTCTCAACTGCAAATCATCGACATAAAAGTTCCAGGCATGTTCTTTACTATTCAATGTTCATAGACTCTCACTGCGAAAGCAACCAAAAGATAGGAGTATAATCCTATTCAACCTTATTCAACCAACAACAAGCACTCCTTAGTAAAGTTGATCATCTTTAAATGTAAAATAATGTTTCGTCTAAGCAGAGCATTACAGGTTAGTACGGACTACCCCATCAAGAAAAAGTTAGTTCGGACTACAGAGTAGCTAAAAACCACAAGTAAACACCTGAATAGATCATCCAAGTTCTTCCCCAAAAACTGATGGAGTGGGATTGAAGTAAAAGTTTCAATAAAAAAGTTCCGACACTAATTGCTAGCAAAATTACACACAGCAGCATCCACATTGCAATTTTCAAATAGCACCAATCACAAGAGTATCTATTAATCATCTGAAACTACAAATCAACACATCAAACACCATAGTTCAAATTAATACATCATCTCACCAACTCATAGTAACACCCATTACGTCTCCTCAAAGTTTCAAATTGTACAGGTAAATCAGAGTATCAAGGTCAACAATGAAAAGATTGTCTCACCGATCACAGCTAGACCTCAGCTTAAAACAAATCCGTAGTAATCAATTTATCAAGATGTATGGAGATCAACCTCAAACATTCTAAGCCAAATAGAAGCACATAAGCTCAAATTAATTATCGACACCAATAACTCAAATCATTAACTCCGTCTCTGGCACCGATTATTTCAATCTCCAACACTCACAGCTCATGAGCTCAATCAAAGCAAAACAACTCAACAAACTAAACAGAATGGAAAAATATATGAATCTAACATTCATTTATACACTAATTTCACTTTCACTTACATGACTATCCTACCTTAACTAATAACAAATTAAAACCATTAATTTCCCAATTCACAAGCATAAGATCAAAAGAAAACAAAAACACAATGCAGAATCCAATAATATCAGGTCAATTAATCAAGTTCAACAA